CAACGTCCTCCATACTTTACAAGAATTCATGTTAAGGATCACATTTTCTTGAAATATAACAAAACAAAATTTTCAAAAAAATTGGTCATAGACTATCTAACACACTCCAAAACATGGCTTTCCGACAAAATGACCATAAACCTAATTGTTTGGTACCCTACCGTTGATATCTGATAGGTAGGGCTGTATACGAGTCGAGCCGAGCTGAACACTACCGTTGATATCTGACACACTCGTGAAAATTTAACGAGCTCGAGCTCGAGTTCGACAAGCTCTGAAAACCAGGCTTGAAGCTCGAGTTCGTTAAATATTTTGAGCTCGAGTTCAGCTCGCGAACCGCTCGTTTATGAGTCCTTACTCCAAAGCAATCCATCAACAATCCTTCAAAATAGCCCCAATACAAAGCCAACCCACTAATCATCACCAACCATCATCAGATCCAAAGCCAAATAGCCACAAATATATGACTCAAAATTCCATCAACTGTGAGAGATAGAAGAAAAGAGAAGAGGAGAGAAAAGAAAAGCAAAGAGGAAGAAGGAAAGAGATGGAAGAGCGAAGGAGAAGTAAGAAGAAAGGTGAAGAAGAAGAAGGAAAATGGAGGAGAAAAAAGACGGAGGAGAAAAAAGATGAAGAAAAGGGAAGGAGAAAGTGGCGGCGCTGGAGAAAGAAGATAGGGTTTAGGAAGTGGGATAATTTATATTGGATATAATAAATTACATAAAAACCCTTGATACTTAAAAAAATATCACTTATACCCTTTCGAGCCATTCACGAGCCTATCGAGCCGAGTAGTAGGTGGTTCGTAGTTCGGCTCGAGAGGGTATTCGAGCTGCTCGAGCTCGAGCTCGACTCGACTTTTGTCGAGCCAAACCTGGCTCGTTCGAGCCGAGCCGCGAGCTACTCGCGCGCGGCTCGGCTCACTTATAGCCCTACTGATAGGTAGGCATCAGTTAATTGGGAAGAATCATAATGGCTGACATGGGTGATACCTCTGGTTTTGGACAAATTCGATCGATTTCAAGTAATATATAGGTCTTAGGACATCGTTAGACTAATTCGGCCAATGCACACTAAATTTATGGTATTGGATAAGATTGAAATCGGTCGACACCATAGGATTCAAACAAATTCAGCCGATTTAAAAAAGCTACAATTGTTAGACACTATCCTATCCTAACACATTTGATAGGATTTTTCCATCTGGGCAGAACTTACCTTGGTCGAATCCAGTCGAATGTGTCCGAATAATAGGTGTCGAACAAACCTTTTCTTCAACCTCCAATCCTTTTTTCATCTAAATCCTCCCATACTGGCCAATACCCATACCTAGATTTGCCAAAAAAAAAAAACCACCCATTTTCAACATCTAAAGACCAGTGTAAGCTTATACGACAACTCATTAAAAAAATAGTTTATTAAACATGTTTCATACACATATATGCAACATACTCAATGATTTATTATTTGGAACAACTTTCAAATTGTATAACTGACTTCTTCTCTCTTTTAAGCCCTTTAATAACCCAATATATTGCTCAAATCCATCCAGCAACAATTTCTTCATATCACAAAAACAAGTCTTGACTTAGGATTTTAGCGTTAAAGCATGGGTTTTTTTCTTTAAGTTTCGGGATTTGTCAATAAGGTTGATTTCGTCCAAAAATTTGGCAGTAATACTACACTCACAAACCCTTCTCACTAACTTTCTCTTACAAATGCAACGTGTCGGCTCATAATTTGTTAGCTCACAATGGGTCTTTATGATACCCAAGATGTCAAAGGCATGTTCCCAACTTAAAATAGTCATTTAGATGTTAATTTTGTGTTAAAAATGTTAATTTTGTGTTAAAAAACATAAAATCTAACTAAGGGCAAAATAGTCATTTCATTTGGAACAGTATGAATCAATTATCCATAAAAATGTATTAGGAGCAAAATAGTCATTGTACCTATGGATAAACATTACAAAAGTCAAGGATGAGTAGACTTAATTGCATTTAATGATATTAATTCAGTAATAATTATGTTTACTGCCAAATGACCAAAATGCCCTTATGCGAAGAATTAAGGACTTATGAGTTATACAATTAAAATAATTGGGCCGATAGCATAATTTTAGAAAATTAATGAAATATTTTCCTATAAATGAGAGGAAATTCGTTCAAGCCAAAGGAGAGAGCATTTCTTCAACATTTCTTCCATTTCCTCTCAAATCTTCCATGAAACAAGCTTTCTTTCTCTAAGTTTTAAAGGAGTTTTGCATAATTTTTCAAAAAGAACAAGATAGGAGCCTTGGATCTTCAAGTTGAAGGGTTTAAGATAAGGATTAAAAACCCTAGTTTTGATGTGATTTGAAGATTTGAAGTAGATGTTGAGGTATAATGTTATATATATAGGATTAAGGTGTAAAAGAAGACAAAGGCAAAGGATTTGTTGGAGGAATTCTTTAAAAAGGTAAGGAAGGACCTCCCATGACTATAGGGATTATGCTAGGGTTTGTAGATTTTAATGAAACCTTAAATTAAAGCTTTAAAGCATAGAATTAATTGATGGCAAGTGTAGTTGAACTCATTAATATTATTTATTGCCTTGAATTCTATTCATTATACATGAAGTTATTGTCATTTATGTTTTATGAGTTGTTATATTTAATTGAAAAAAATGAAGTGTTGATGTTAATTGTCGCAAAACTTGTAGGATTGGAGGTCATATGGTGTTGAATGATTGCTATTAGAAGTGTTGATGTGTTATTTGCATTAACTTAGAATGTTATAGCACTGATAGATGATCATGTGAATGAGGTTTTACACTTCTTTTAAGATGTTAAAGACTATTAAGAGAATGTTAGTTGATCCATAAGTTGACATATTTGTTAATTGTCAATAGAAATTGATATGACATGGTTTAATATGAAAAATTCAGATTTAGTAAGTTTAGAGGTTATGTTAAACATACTTCAATATTTCGACCATAACTTAAGTTATAAAAATTGAAATGAGATGATTTTTGAAGTATTCAAAAGGTAAAACATAGTCATATAACTTTTATATTTAGGCCAAGGGCCAATTCATTTGAGAAATGGATGGAAAATGGCATGAAGAATAAACTTTTGGTTGTTAAAGTTTAAAATTTAAGATAATTAATTCTATTGATTATGAATTGATTATTAATGCATTGTTGCAATTAAGTCATGTACTAATGTTTATCCATTAGTTAGATGATCTTTAAAAGATTTCATGGATGCAAATATATGATTAATGTTATGAAATGGCATGAAGATGCAATGTAATTTATGTTTTGAGATGATGAATGTGAGCAAGAGGTAATGTAAATGAACTAATAATCCATAGATGAATCAAAAGTATTAAGCTCACTAAAACATATATTTACATGTCATAAGATGTTAGAGAAGTATATAGACATGATGGAAAACGCGTAAGCATATCCTCGTATATCGGTTAAGGAAAGATGAATATATGCTTTAGATGCTAAATAACGTGTAAGCACGCCTCCCCGATGATATGAGCTCTAAATGAATTTGACGCTAGATGATATGAAGTGCTTAAGACACTAAGAAAAGTCTGATCGGCTAGATGTTAAATGATTCATATGCATGTTAGATGATATTTAGATGTTATTTACATCATGAGATGATTTATACTCATGTTAGATGATATTTAGATGTTATATCATGACATGTGATGTGTGTGTACTATGTTTACATACTTATTTATATGTGTACACATTGATGTTTATATAGCCATGAGATAAAATAATTAAAAACATATGAATTAACAAGAAAAGGGAAGCATACATAAATGTAAAAAGATAAGTGGTGTGTTAATAAATATGTTTAAATAAAGGTCAAATAGCACATTTAAAATGAAATTGATCATTCCTTACTCAGCGATTAGTGCTCACCCTTTCATTGCTGATTGTTTTGTAGGTAGACCAGAAGAAAATGAGGCTAGAGTCAGCAGGGCTACACATGAGGGGAGATGATTTATTATCATCTTGATGCTTTTATCTTAATGTAAATAATATAAATGATCAATGTTTGTGAAACACTTTTGGAAGATTCCTCCTTATAAATATGTTTTGATTGATTGATGTCCAAATGAATTTAAGTTTTTATTTTTATCTTTGAAGGTACTGATTTTGATCCTATGGTATATCTTATAGTAATGTTTCTGACATTATTATTATTATTGCACAGGTTTTCTAAATACAACTCATTCTCCAGACATGTATCACCTAGATTCTCATTGAGGGGTATTTAGTGGGTACCTGACTGGAGAAGGGTTTTATAGTCTCGCCTAACCAAATGCGAGTTGCCACGTCAACATTTGTAAGAGAAAGTTGTAAGAAGTGTTTATCAACATACTTTTATTCAAAATTTGGTGTTAACTGGGATTATGCTATTTCATAAAACATTTTCCAAAGAGTGCCACTTTTCAACTCACTCCCAAACAAGTGTCATTTAATATAATTTCTCTATTTGTTTTATGACATTATTAAAATTAAAATTTTGACAAATAATTAAAGCTATAATTTTATTCTTTATCTAAGTTTTCTTTAAATAAGTAAAAGATTAGATCTATAATTTAATTCATACCTCGTAATTTTCGTCCCTTCACTCAATTATTAATATTTAAAATTATTGTCTAATTTAATCAACCAAAAAAAAAAATCAATTAATTTTGCTTCTCATTACATTACATTTTTATTACTGTGAAAATAATTAAATTAAAAGGAGAAAAAATTTTAAAGTTTGAAAGATCCAACGGTTTCCATATCAAGATGTTGACACTTGTTTATATCAAATCCGCCCAATTCCCAAATTGAATTAATATCAGAGTATTTAAGTTGACTAAATTAAATATTATGTTGAACCAATTCTTTTTTGTAAACTAAAGTTCCCAAATGGGTTGAAACCCAATTACCTCGGGGGCCCAATAAAGAAGGGGTATTATATAAACAACACAATCCTGTAAAATTTTGAAATTTGAAATTTGAATCTCTGGTTATGGCAACGAGATCATCATCCAAAAGTATCGAGGGTTTCTACAAGCAAAAGAAGAACACCACCACCACCAAGAAGACTTCGAAGAGAAAGTCCCCTAAGCATGCGGCCACTGTCGGCTCCGATGTTACCCAACCCACGGCTCTGATTTCTCACGGTTCCCTTGATCTTAAAGGTCCCTTTTTTTAAAAAAAAAAAAAAAAAAAATTTATCTAGGGTTTAATGTTTATTTATTATTCTTATTTGAATTGTGAGCGTCCTTATTCACTGGGGTGAAGTTTCTTTAATTCTTTTTAAGGAATGAGCGCTAGAGATATGATTCAAATATTCAGTTGTTTCAGATGCTCTACAGACGAAGATACCTGAGGAAATCTTTTAATTGTTTTAAAATTTGTAACCTTTCTTATTGGTTGTTTTTAGCTTATTTTTATTCTCAAACTGCTTTTAAGAACACCATTAAAGTAGATTAGTTTAAAATCACACAGAAACATATATAATTTTGCAACTATTAGCCTTCGTATTTGAACATAAATCTCTTTGTACTAAATGATGAAAATCAGTGAGAGATTGTTAAAAGGTTATTGTATTTGGAAATGCAGAGATATTTGTTTATTAGTTTGGTTTTCGGATTAGCAGTGGTTGACATGGGATTTGATTTATTGGTGGCAGATGATTATGATAAGAATGAAGAAGTGCTGAGGCAGTTTGACATGAACATGGCATATGGTCCATGCCTTGGTATGACTAGACTGGCTCGTTGGGAACGCGCTACTCGTCTTGGCTTAAACCCTCCCAAAGAAATCGAGGGCCTCTTGAAAGGTGGAGAGGTTCAAGCAGAGTGCTTGTGGCAAGATCGCGTTTAGGAATCAGTGTGTTTATGTGTATTAAAATCTAATGTGTGGAATTTATGTTCAGCATCTAGCTGTGCTCTTAGTCTCTATTTGAATGTTGTGATGAACTACAAGGGTTGCTAATTTTAGTTAAGATTTTGTCTGGAAACAATTGCATCTTATGAGAATGTGTATGGTAAGAGTAAGTCAATTGTCTGGAACAAATTTCATCTTATGAGAATGTGTATGGTAAGAGTAAGTCAATTGGTCTCAATCTTTCTTCATTCTTTGTTTTTCAACTTATGCAGTAAATAATATAAAACTGAGAGTCATTTAGCTTGAAAATCAGGAAATTAAGCATGACTTTCTGATTGAAGTGCTTTCACAAATTATATAGATTGGACACTGTGGATTCTTGACATTGTGCTTCTGTTGGTTTTGTTGAAACTTTAGAATCCTAGTTTGATTTAAATTGAAGATATACATGGTGGTTGTGTATTTTTGTTTTGTGTATTCATGTGTGTTGCAGAACACCTCAGAACCTAGTGTTAATATAATTCCTCAAATGCAATAGGCATTCTCAGCCTTGAATGAATATTTTTTTGACAAAAAATATTTACGATTGAATCAGGATTTACAAAATAGTCAACAAGTAGACAGGTTCAAAATAAACTTAAAAGGTTAGCACAATTTAAAAGCCTTGGAGTGATCCTGCGTAGACTCCCTTTAACCATTCACCATTATCTCCTACATCGAGAGCCTATAATGGAAAAGGTCAAACATTCAAATGATAAATTATCCACTCAACTCAAAAATTTGTGAAAATAGGGCATTCGTTCCTATAAATAAAGCATTGGATAGAGAGGCTGAAGGCCTGCAATGGATTGTAATATTTAAAGTCAATTACTCATTTAAAAGGCTTATTTTTGTCGAAAAACTCAGAGAGAGCCAACATTTGCCACTATAAAATAAATTGTATGAATTGAAAATTTTCCATACAAACAAATGTTCCAAAGATGATGATACTATCTAACAATATATCTTTTCGAGAAAACTTAAATTACAATGACTGCAGACTATCCTTGTATATTTTTACTGTTAATCTCTATTTGAGAACAATGATTAAAAAAGGAAAAAAGAACTAAAAAATACAAGCTAACTAATCTCCAGTCCAGGCCTTTGAAGAGTTCCTGTAAAGTCTACTCCTTCTTCCTCCTGGGTTTAGTTTTCACATCATCAGGTATAAAAGATGACAAGAATAGCGGCAAGAGTGTGCTCACTGCCTGTATTAGAAGGGCTAGAGGCAATCTAGAAAAATCATCTCCTGTAACTCCAGTGTATGATGCGAGAGCAACACCAAGGTATCCGCTCACTATTAATGAAAGGGCTATAGCCGACATGACAAAAGCCATTACGGATCCTTCACATCCTGGAGGACAGAGCTGTGCTATTAAAACATTGAATGGCAGAATCTTAAAAAAGAACATAACTTCTAACAGGCCTGAGAAAGCCACAACGTATACCAAGTCTGGCACCCCCATCTCTCGATATACCCCTTTCACAAACAACATGTCCGAAATCATTAACACGGCCATCATTACTTGAATGGCTGAAATCAGTATCCTAGGAGAGACTGACTTTAAGCGATGATTATAGATGACACCCCATAAAAGGAGTGCAGCCTGGCCAAATACCTTAGAGATCCCCAATACTGATGAATCAATCTTCAAATGCTGTGTTTGGTAAAAAAACATTGTTCCAGTCAGTGCTGGGATTATGGCATAGGATACTGCCAACCAGGTTACAGAGTAAGCAATCTCAGGTTTTCGTAAAGCTGCTGAGAGCTCGGCGAGCTGTTTTCTAATTCCAACATTTGATGGACTTTTAGGGAGGTTAAGAGAGCTTTCACGAACAGTAATAGTCAAGAAAAATTGGAGAGCAACAAGGAGGCCGAAAAAGAGGAAAACTGACTGGGGGGCAAATCTGTTGATGGCAATACCACCTAGAAGGTTCCCAAGGACTCCACCCACAGAGGATGCCATCCAAACAAATGACTGAAGTTCGCCTGAAGAAGATGATTGAGAGCTCTTAGTTGAGGTAGTGGGCTGTTTTCCTTTCTCTGCAACAATGGCATCATTTGCAACCTCAGCAATTGAAGCACCAAGGTTACTCAGGAGAAGGTATAGGGAAATGTTGAAGATTGAGATGCTTGATTGTGAAAGAATTGCAATAGCTAACCATGACAATGCTTGTAATAAAGCTGCGACAAATGGGGAAGAAATAATTAGTGGAACACTTTGAGGAAAAATAAAATGGAAGATAAAACAACTTAGTCATATTAGTCAGATCTATTCTTGACAAAGCAATCTTCTCTCACATACCACATGTAATATTAGATAAGATAAAATAAAGAAAAACTATCACGAAAGAAGCAGGCAAGAAAACTGGAAAAAAAAAATGACATGAACATTATATGCTTGATTAAATAAAACGGTAAAATTCCTTTACAGATTTCAACAGTGATTTTATTCCTGATTGACTGTAAGATATTCACTAGTTTAAACTAAGTGGCTTAGTTTCTTGCTTCAGAGCCAGTAACTATCAGAAAAATCTGAAAAAAGTCTCCATGAGCCCCCCAATGCAAAAATGAAAGCAGTTTTAAGAAATCTGTGTCCACAAACTGAAAGCAGACATTGGAAGTTATGGTAAACAAGACTGTCACATCCACTTCGGGAAACAAGACAAATCACCATCCTAGTTATAACTCTTCTAATTTTTGTTCCTTGAAATATCTTCAAGAATCACTTCTATATTGGAAACAAGATCAAGTAGCTTCCTAGAAGCAAGGTCAAGAATCACAAATAAAACAAGATGAAGTTAGTTGTGGTGTTGTTTCACAAAAATAACTGTAATCCCGCTTCCTCCAAATGTCCCTAGACTAGAAAGTCCCATTTTACAAATGCCTGAAGCAGATTATGCGGGCTTACCAAGCAGTATATTGAAATTTACAATAACATGAACTCATGTTTCCACAGAAAATTTTTTAAAGTGGTTTTCTCAATAGACCATTAAAGATTAAACAAGTGACAAGCAAGTATGGACACTGGTTGATTATTCAAATTCAACATCAGGTGAGGACCATAAATTCTTGCTTCACCTAAAAAACATCCATAGTATTCCTCTTAACACATGAAGAATAATTTAAAACTAACTTTAAAGAGTTTGGAATGTGGCAACATGTGGGGCAGTTATAAAGTGGAAAACCCAATAACATATCAAAGGACTAGTTGACAGCTAAACCTATGACACCTTATTTAGCTCAGGATTAAAGAAAAAAGAAAAAAAAAAAAAAAAATTGGCTTTTCATAAAGATATAAAGAGTAATTCATCTCTGTACCCTTTGCCTTTGGTCCCAGATTCTCAAAACCGAACTTGAAGGCATGTTTCCATCAATCAATCTTTTCTCACTTTTCTTTAAGATGCAATAATTTATACTTGACAAATTTAATTTCGTAAATAATTTGAATAATAAAAAATTAAATCTTTCAGCGAACAGAGAATTGCAGTTAAGAATTATATACAATACCCCCATCACCGCCAGAACTTCAATTATAAACTGCGTGACTATTCCACATTATATCATCTACGTAAGTAAAAAAAAGATTAAAGCGAAATAGAAGAAAGTAGAGTTAGTTAATACCCCCAATGGCGATGTAAGGGACACGATGCTGGTCGGAGATGTAAACGGCATCAGAAACAACGCCGTAGAAAGGCTTACCGACCATGGGAAGATTGGCCGAGTTTTGCAATAGCTGAAGAGTGGAAGGATCGACATTCAGAGCGTCTTTCAAGAAAAAGTTAACTGCCATCCATGGAAAGCATCTAAAGCCCTGCACCCAGAAACCGAAACCCAGCAAGCTCCGGGTGGGAGCGGAGGTCGGATCCGGTGAGGATGAAGAGACCATGTTTGATAGTTTTAGTTGAGAAAAGATGGAGCTAGAGAGCGAGAGAGGTTGTGTTAACTGTTATAAAGAAACATACATGGCCAGCTTGATGCCAATCAAAAGACACCAGTCATCAAAAAGTAAATCAAAGGGCACGTGGATGTCCTAAAATATTCTAATTTTAAATTTTATTATAATAATAAATAATACAACTCCGACGTGGACCACATCTTAATTCATTTTAATTAAACTTCAAAAATCTCCTTTAATTCACAAATTGAAAAATATTATTTCATTTACCCAAATATTTTTTAAAAAATGAAATACCTCCCAAAAATTACTAAAAGCCTCTTCGAAGATATAACAAGGATACGATCTTTTAAAAATAAAAAAAAAGTCTATAAAATATCAAAAACTCCTTAAAATTATCAAGTAAACCATTAAAAAGGGTGTTTTTAATACTTTTTGGAAGTCATTGTAATGTTTAAAATTTACTTATTTTTAGAGTCAAGTAATAGAATTTTTTCTTTGCCAAAAAAATGAAATTAAATATTATTTTCTTCAACTAATTTTTTTTTTCTTTATCCTTTTCTTAATATAATAGTTAAATTGAATAAAATTATTTTCTTAATATACATATATAAACAAAGCTAGAATGAATATTATATATATATATATATTATAATTCTATCTATTGTTTTGCCTAGGTCTTAAATTACTATGATGATATAGAATAATTAAGATGGGATATGTAAAGTGATTGTTTAAGGACAAAATTAAAAGTACAAGTAAAAGGGAATGTTTTCTTTTAGTTAGAAAACAAACAAGTTTGCAGCAAGTGAAAGAAGAATAAAGATAGGCTGACAAACACTTCTTACAAACGTTGATATTTTAGCTTGCATTTGGGCAGCAGGATCCATTACGAGCTGACTAATCACGAGTTGACACGTCGCGTTTATGAGAAAAAGTTAATAAGAAGAGTTTGTGAGTATAGTATTACTGGTGAAAGAAAAAGTGAATGTGATGGGCTAAAAAGCAAGGGGACAGCCGGATAGGTGAAAGCCAAATTATATTAATTAAAATTAATATTTGAGTTAATGATATTTGTCCCCATGAGGTATGATTAAATAACAAAATCCTCTTAAGATTTCTGAAATAACAAAAATATTCCTACCATTAAATATTAGTTGTTAAAATAAAAAGTAGAAAGACAATTTGGTAAGTAATCCTAAGAAAATATATTTAATGGCCTTATTTTGGTAGTGGAATTGAAATGCAGCACATTTAACTTTTTCTCTCATGAAATGTCATTTTTCCATTTTCCACTAATTTCAAGGACGAAAATACTACCATTGAAAAATGCTTAAACCCTAAATAAAAACCCAATGTTTAACTCTTACAACTCAACTTAAATCTTGTAAACGAGCTATTTTTCAATGAATTTGTTGATATATTGGGTTATTCTACGGTCTATAACAAATAAGAGGTAAGTTTAGTTATTTGAACGTGGTTGGAAAAGATTTAAGTTGAGGTTTTAGAATATGTTTATAGAAAACATGTTAAGTGAGACAATTTGGGTTGATTTGTCGTTATTAGTGTTATTATAATATTATGAGTTTAAATTGAATGAGGATGTTGAAAATGGTTTGCATTGTGGAAATCTGGGTCTAGGTTTCAGGTTATATCAATATCATAGGTATCTGACGAAGGTTTAAGACGAGTTATGTCTGATGTCTAATACGGTATCAGGCGAAAACAAGTCATGTGAACAAGACAGCTTCCATCCAGTATCCCAATATCAAACCAAAAGACAACAAGGACTCTGTCAATTTTCCTGAAACCTCTATATCATATTGTCGGACAAATTCGGACTGCTTAGTTTTAATTTTGCAGTTAAAATATTGTAGTCCACTACCAACTAATCGGAAAGTTTCAAACATATGTTAAATTTTTGGATTTTCCACATATTTGTGGAATTGTTTTGTATTTTTAGGGAAATGAGAAACTTAGCTTGTATTCTTGTAAAGTATAGAGAATGGTGGGAGTCTCAAAATGATGGTTCATATAAACATGTACAAGCAAAGACGAAAGCTCTCACAATACCTGAACATTTAAACTTTGAAGAGCTACTGAAGTCCGTACAAATTGATAGTAGGCATTATAATTTAGAGCTTACAGTGAAATATGTGACTCACAGATATGATGAGCATGTTCAAATCAAGAATGACAACGACCTTGTGTTCTTCATTGACACGTAATTCGAAGAGCCCACCAAATACCTTCCATTGCATGTCATAACGGTTGATGTACACTTATATTCAGTTTTTGGTAGTACGGTAATTGTATTTGTTGATGCAGTCATATTTTGCTGGAAATGCATCATGTTTCAGTTTGCAGTTTGAAAAGCTTTGGCGCCAATTGAATTCTGTTATTGTAGTTGTCGTGTGTGAGCTGCTTAGTTTAGGTGTGATTAAGACCTGTAACTGATGTGTTTTGAACTTTTGTGTATGCTTTAGTTGGTTGTTAGAGTTTAAATTCAAATATGAAAATGTCCTTGCTGTAGTTATTGTAACAGTGAATGTTTTGGTTGCACTGATGTACAAATTATCAATCTTAATGTAATGATACATGTCTTCCACATATTCTTCCAGTTTTTCCTTTCTTTTCTTTGAAATTCTCCGGCCATAAAACCATCAAATGGTATCAGAGCCAGCTTAGGAAACCTGAAAGACTCTTCCTCATATAATCAACCCTTCACTTTGTCTTCAAGAATTCCACTTTGCCTCCAAGAACTCCCCTATTTTAGATAGCCTGTTTGAACTGATGGTTGCTCAATCAGCCTTGATGTCACCTCTAGTATTCAATGGAGAACACTATCATATATGGGTTGTAAAAATGAAGGCTTTCCTCCGAGGTCAGGGCTTGTGGCAGTATGTAAAGGAGAATAGGCAGCTAGCACCCTTGGGACCAAATCCCACCTTGAACCAGATCAGAATGCATGAAGAAGAAGCTGCCAAGGCACCAAGAGCCCTATCTCACATCCATGCAACTGTAACAGACCTCGTGTTCACAAGGATTATGGCATATGAAACTCAAATGAGGCGTGGGACAAGTTAAGAGAGGAATACATGGGAAGAAACATAACAAGGAATATGCAGGTGCTGAACTTGAGAAGGGAGTTTGAGTTATTGAGGATGAAAGAATCAGAGAAAGTGAAGAAGTATGTTGACAGGCTGATGAGTGTGGTCAACAAAATCAGGTTGCTAGGAGTGGAGTTAACAGATAGAAGAGTTATGAAGAAGGTCTTGCTGAGCTTGCTCGAAAAATTTGAGTCCAAAATTTCTTCCGTTGAGGACTCTAAGAACATGTCTCAAATCACCTTGACTGAGCTTGTTCATGCACTCCAAGCTCAAGAGCAAAGAAGACTCTTAAGGAAAGAAGACACAAGTAAGGGTGCAATGATGGCAAATAAAAAAGGCAATGCTGCACAAGGACATAACAGGAGGTATGATGGGGATAAAAAAGGGAAAGAAAAGAGCAATGGTCAATGGGAAAAACTAGGTGGGGTGAAGGAGTATCATGCCTGCTCTTACTGTAAAAAGAAAGGGCATTATGAGAGGAAGTGCTGGCTCAAACCAGGGATAAAATGTAGAGATTGCAAGCAGTTTGGGCACATAGAAAGGGTCTACAAGAACAAGGGAAGTCAGCCATCACAACAAGCTCAAGTTGGAGAAGATCAACCGCAATTAGGGGTATTTAAAAGCGGTTAACCGTTTTTTTGAACCGAACCAGTTTGGAGGAAAAACCGGTTTTTCAGTTAACCAAAAAACCAGTTAACCGCTTTAAAAAAAGCAATTAATCGGTTTTGAACCAGTTTTCCCTTTTTTTAATAAAACTTATTTATTTTATTTTTTCCTAAATTAAATTGTAAATATAAATAATACATATCCAAATAAAAATTAAACATTCATACATATCCATTGACCACTACTAACAATACATTAAAAATATTATTATTATTTATTTAATATATAATATAATATATTATTATTATTTGTTTAATATATAATACATAATATATTAATTTTTATTTAATATATATATATATATATATATGTAAAACCGGTTTCGGTTAACCGCTTTTTATTTTTTCCCAAATCGGTAACCGAACAGAAAATTCAGTTTTTTGAATTTTTCGAATCGTAACCGAACCGTTTTTTCGGTTAACCTGTTTTTCGGTTCGGTTTGGTTTTTACATTTTTTTGAACACCTCTAACCGCAATGTTAGGAGGCTGAACAACTCTTTGTGGCCTCTTACTACGCATCACAACTCAACAATGAAGCTTGGCTAATTGACAGTGGCTGCACCAACCACATGGCTGCAGACCTGCAAAAGTTCACTAATCTGGACAAGTCTTATAGTTCCAGAGTTAAGATAGGAAATGGTGACTTTGTGGAGGTCAAAGACATAGGAGATGTTGCTGTCCAAACACAATCAGGTACTAAAATCATCCCTGATGTCTTGTATGTACCTGATATTAGTCAAAATTTGTTAGGTGTTGGGCAAATGTTAGAGAAGGGTTATTCTTTACATTTTCAAAATCAGGCTTGTGTTATATTAGATGGTAATGGAAACGAATTAATGTGTGTGAAAATGATGGGAAAAAGCTTCCCGGTTGAGTGGAAGAAACCTGGTAATTTCGCTTTAACATCTAGGCTGGAAGAATCAGAACTTTGGCACAAAAGGTTTCACCACTTTCACTATAATGGCCTCAAAGGGATTATGAGCAAAAACATGCTTCTGGACCTGCTTGAGATTGAAGAGAAGAAGAGTCTTTGTAGTGCTTACCAACTTGGTAAGCTCAACAGGCCACCCTTTCCCACGGATCAGGTTTGGAGAGCAACCAAAAAACTCCAACTGATCCACACTGATGTTTGTGGCCCTATGCAAGTTGAATCCATGAGTGGAAGCAAGTATTTTGTGCTGTTTATTGATAACCTCACATGGATGACTTGGGTGTATTTCCTAAAGTAAAAGAATGAGGTTGCTACAGTATTCAAAAGTTTTAAGTTGTTGGTGAAGAATCAA